AAGTTACTCTGATCTCAGGATGTTGCCTCCTGTTCGTCACTGAGCAACTTTTGCAGAAAAAACTAATTTTCTTCCGAATCCTCTTAAAGGGAGTAATAAGAAGGTACTACCAGGGATGTATTTATTTATGGAATTTTAGCAGAAAGATAAAACAAAGTAGATCGAGAAGTCAGAAGTGTACTTATTTTAACATTCATCATTATTATTATTTTTAGAGTGAATTACCTTTAACTATCAAGTTACTTAACATGCAGTTAAAACTTACCACAATAATAAGATAACATTTCCCAGTATACAGTTGTAATGAAAAATCCCTCATATGATGTAGCAAAATGTATCAACTGCTTTGTCTGGATATAGAATTACTACAACCTTATTAACTTCAGGAAATACTATCTTGATGGTAATTCTGGCAATATTTGTGTCCCCCGATGGGCCAATGGTAAGTTTACGGACTTACAACTCTAAAATTCGCGGTGGACACATCAAAGAGTCCAGTATGGCTATGTTATAAAAACAACGAACAAAGTAATATTTGCTTAGATAAGAAAGTGATCTTCCCATTCTAAAGATAACAATTAGTAGTAATATCCTGGTGGTCATTCTAGCAATATTTGTTTAGGTAAGTAAACGTCTGTTCTATTCTAAAGATAACAGTTAGTGGTAATATCCCGGTGGTCATTCTAGTAATATTTGTTTAGGTAAGAAACCTCTTATAACGCACAGACATCCCGAAAAGGCAGAGTTCGGTTTTGAGGTAATTGACCTTCGGGTTCATAGTCCGCCAAGCTAATAATTTGGCCACGCCCGTCACGAAACAATTATCAAAAATATCCTTAATATTTTCAACAATGATATTCAGAAGCAGTAAAGTTCTACCAAAAATATGAATAAAAAGGGCTTAACTCTGATATTTCACTTGTAAGAAACCAATACTTTAGTATTCAGGGCTATAATCTAAAGAACACGTAAGCATAGTATTTGTTTTTGTAAGTTTGTTTTGTTTGTTTGTTTGAAATTAAGCACAAAGCTACACAATGGGCTATCTGTGCTCTGCCCACCACGGGTATCGAAACCCGGTTTTTAACGTTGTAAGTCCGCAGACATACCGCTGTGCCACTGGGGGGCCTTTTTTCGTAAGTAGTACATGTTTAAGTGTTACCTTTTCCTACGTGTTTTGAAAAATTGTTCTTGTATATTATTTAATGTTTTACAGTTGTGTTCACGATGTTTATGTATAGGTGTGACTAAGGAGTTTTGTTATTCACTCTCAGAAAAAATAAATAAACGGGAGCGAATTCACTTTTCTTAAGGATTGTTTATTTTTGAATTTCGCGCAAAGCTACACGAGGGCTATCTGCGCTAGCCGTCCCCAATTTAGCAGTGTAAGACTAGAGGGAAGGCAGCTAGTCATCACCACCCACCGCCAACTCTTGGGCTACTGTTTTACCAACGAATAGTGGGATTGACCATCACATTATAACGCCCCCACGGCTGAAAGGGCGAGCATGTTTGGTGTGACGGGGATTCGAACCCGCGACCCTCAGATTGCGAGTCGAGTGCCTTAACCACCTGGCCATGCCGGGCCTTTCTTAAGGAAGTAACAGCTGTGTCACCACAAACTCCACTGTTTATATTCAAGTACTTTCCTTAGATTGTACGTATACATCTCGCAAAGTTCCAACTTTAGGTGGAGGCAGTGTTGTTCACCCAAAACATTAAGATATGTAAAACGGACATACCCTTTCAGAAACATCCAAGCTTATTAAGAACAAGTTCTGCAAGATTTCGGTAAATTGTTTATTTATGTTTGTGACAGATGAGTATGTAGAATTGAATTTAATTTGTGTTCAATATGATAGATAAAAACGATTACAATAAAACAAATTTTATCAACTCTTTGGGAGTCAATTAAACATTAAAATAATGATCATTGAATTTAATTGGGCCATAAGCTTCAAAACCGTAGCATGTGGTGGTGAAAAAGAAATGTTCTATGAAAGAAAAATGTCAATGTGAGATTTTATACGGCAGCATGAATAACTTGTTTAACCATAAAATGTTTTAACGAAACAATAAATGTTTATGTTTCTTTCGAGTATTCGTGCAAAGCTACACAATAGCTATTTGCACTCACCTTCCTTAATTTTGAATTGATAAGCTACAATGAAAGCAACTAATCAAGAGCACTAACCGTCAACTCTTGGGCTACTCTGATTAAATAGTGGGATTTAATCATAATTTTCTTTTATGTATTGCGTTATGACGTTTTATGAAAAATCTTTACGTGAGGGAGAACATGGATATCGTTTTCGGATTCAGCGTACAGGAATTACTGTAGAACATGCAAAAATTTCAAGACAATAAAACCATCGCAGGCCTGTATTATCGCTTAGAACATTTGATTTAGGTTTAGTAAAGCATAAGTTAAGACATGTAAGAGTAAAATGTTTAGTTTAGGTCTATCAAAGACAATGTAAATTGGTGGAATATAAATGTGTGACTTAGGTTTATCAACGAATAAAGCTAAGACTTTGAAAAAGTGAAATTGGTTAGTCTTATTTTTTTTACAAAATTAAGTTAAGACAAAGTAGAAGTAAGAATGTATGATTGAATCTTTCTAGAATATCTAAATAACGTTTTAAAACTTGTTTCAACAAGATTTACTGTTCGTAATTATTGGATACACAAGACTGTTTAGTGACAGTGTTCTTATTTAGTTTATTTTGTGACTTAATATTTAATGATTGTTTAATTTTTTAGACAGGAGTGTTGAAGATGGATTGTTTTAAAAGTGTTAGTTGTGTCACATTTCGTCACGTAATTCTGTGCATAGTGTTATGTAGTGTTTGCAAATACATTGTTGTCTAGGCTTTTATAATATTGTTAACGTCACGTTACTCGAATCTTCTCGTTACCTTAACTGAGTACTGTTGAATCGTCGCGTCGCATAGTTTAGAGAAAGTTCGAGGCCGCAGTAAACAACATATAAATATAGACGACCAAGCGAGGGCAAGTCACGTGAAGTAAAGTAAAGTGAAGAAAAAAGGGCAGTTCAGTCAGAAAAAAAGTTAAAAAACGTGAAGTTAACCGACGTGTGAGTAATTAGCCATAATGGGCGATATTTTAAAGTGAGTTTCACAGTTTTAATAGTGATAAAGAGAATAATTTGTCTTGTCAAAGGGTTTTCTGAAATAACTGAACCCGTCTGTGTTGAATTTGACGAAAAGGAGACAATTATTTAAAGTTCGAGATACAATTGTTGTAACTCACTGGGTAACATAATTGAATTATTCACTGATACTATTGTGATAAGAGTAGAGAAAAATAATTCGTCTTGTCAGTTGGATTCTAAAGTAATTGAATTAGCCTGTGTGGACTTTTGACAAGAAAATAAAATTACTTAGAGTTTTAGATAAAACTGTGATATCCTATAGTGTGAAGAAGTTTTTACACACGTTTGACTTGTTTTGAATTTATTTTTTAAAACAAGTGGATTGTGTGCTGTCCATTTATTGTTGACATTTATCACCAACAAGTCACAGACATCTACTGTAGAATATTTTTCTGCCCACTCATATTTAGAACCCTGACAACAATTTTATAAATTGGTGTTACCTTGTTGTAATAAGTATTTAATATAAATATATTTCTTGTCGTATATGAAGAAAGAACAATTCAGGACAGAAATTATAAAAACATTAGATATGAAAAGTCTTACACAATGTTCACCTGACTTTTATTGCATTTTTGTAGATTTTGTTGGAACATGCCATTGATAGAAATGATGCTCTATGTGTAAGAAATAACACACACCGAACTGCTCGCCACCTGGTTGAAACTCTCAGTTCTTCAAGTCTACGAGAAACTCTCATCCCACTGTTGATGAAATATGAATCTATTTCAGATTCCAGAAAAAGGCCTAAGTCATAGTGAAACGTAAGATAAAATGTCTAGAGAAGTTTTGTAAAATAGATCTAGCAGTAATTTTTTAACTTTCACTTATGCTCAGCCGAAATACAATTGTTCTAATTTTACTCTTAATAATAAGCCAGATTTTAATGCAAATATTAAATATTATAAATTTCATTGTAACCAAGATATATGTTCGAATTTTGAGTTGTATTTGCCTTCTTTGCCCAGTTTCGTGCATAATTTCAGGTTTGGAATTCGCTGGGAAGTGAAGCATGAAGAGAGAAAGAGATAAATGGCGACTGTGTTGGAGACGTTCTTTCTACAGCAATAAAATAAAAATGATAACGTGATATTTCGTTTATTTATTGTTAAGTGCAAAGCTACATAATAAGCTTTGCCCACCTCGGGTATCAAAACCTCGCTTATATCGCTATAAGCCCTCAGCGTAATATTTCGTAAGTCTGTTAGTATAATCACAAAATTAATGTTTCCAAATTGTTAGGCTAGTTGGATTTTTTTTAAGGCAGCTAAGAGACACGATTTAAAGGAAAGTTAACATTTGACAATTAATTGTAAGAACGGAGAACTTATCTAACGATATAACATTGACGACTTTATTATTAACGTTAGCAAGCAGAAGAGATATAACTACTTTTACTATATCAATTTTAAAATAATTTTACAGTCCGAATTAGCTTTACGTGTGGATATTTGTAAAGTTTGTGTTACTGTAATTGATAAACACGTAAAGGGGGTAATTATAGTTAATTGTAATTAATTAAAGTAATTATAATAAAAAGATTTGTAATTTTGAGAACGGAAGTGAAGGGTTCTCTATGGAATTAGACGAATTATATGCTAATTTTCCTGAAAGATTTCCAGTTTTAATTTCCATAAATTTTTATCTTTATATCCAAGTTTGAACAATTTCGAGATTTTACAGTGAAATATTTTGTCAACGTTCGTTTACCATATTCGTTTTGCTTGGACTAATTGTCCGGATTAGTTTACATTGTATATGTAGAACAATTATATATTTATTCTACTTTATTTAGTTAATTATAATATGTTATATTCTTTTGTAGGATAACAACGGTAGAACGCCTTTACATCTTGCTATTGAAGCAGGTCAATCAGAAGTCGTAGCAGTACGTATTTTATGTTTCATAATAGGATGAACAAAATTCATTTATTAGACAATATTATGTAAATATTTTATTTATCAAAGAATAAACTCAAGACTATATAGAGGTAAGAACGTTTGGTTTAGGTTTAACAAAATATAAGTTAAGACTATGTTGAAGATAAATATTCGGATTAGGTTTAACAAAGAATGAAGTTAAAACCAATTACACAGGCCTGTGAATTTAAACGTCATAAAAGTTGTTTTGATAACTGATTTTCTACAATTCAGCTACGCAGATTTCGAAAATAATATTATTATTTTTTATATCACGTAAGGATTTTTTTACAAATCGGGAAGGAAAAAACTCTTAATTAGACTAAATTATCATTTTGTTTACGACAATGAAAAGTTTTTCTTATTATGTTTGTTAACAAAAACACAAACAAACTGAAGAAAAATAAAGAACGTTGATGTCAAAGAAATATACGTTCGCAATCATCCTAATTGTTTTGTGAAATCTACGTCTTTTAGTCTACGTCTTTCTTCTAATATATGCTGTCTGTTAGACTAACTGTTGTATACGTGTTAAAGTCCATTCTGACATGCGCTTTTAAGCTAAGCGTTGAGGTTAATTTCTGTTGTATACGTGTTAAAGTCTCTTTTAATATACGCTGTCTGTTATACAAACCGTTCAGATTGGATTGTTTTTTTCCATATGTGTTAATGTTCATTTTAACACAAGCTGATAGACTAACCGTCGAGGTTGGTTTCCTTTTTTTATGTATGTGTTAAAGTTCCTTCTAACACAGGCTGTTACTTTAACACGTATACAACAGTTAGTCTAACAGACATCGTATGTCAGAATGGACTTTAACACGAATACAACAGTTAGTCTAGCGGACAGCATATGTTAGAGTGGACTTTAACACGTATACAACAGTTAGTCTAACAGACAGCATATATTAGAAGAAACTTTAACACGTATACAACAGTTAGTCTAACAGACAGCATATATTAGAAGAAACTTTAACACGTATACAACA